CTATCTATCTATCTATCTATCTATCTATCTATCTATCTATCTATCTATCTATCTATCTATCTATCTATCTATCTATCTATCTATCTATCTATCTATCTATCTATCTATCTATCTATCTATCTATCTATCTATCTATCTATCTATCTATCTATCTATCTATCTATCTATCTATCTATCTATCTATCTATCTATCTATCTATCTATCTATCTATCTATCTATCTATCTATCTATCTATCTATCTATCTATCTATCTATCTATCTATCTATCTATCTATCTATCTATCTATCTATCTATCTATCTATCTATCTATCTATCTATCTATCTATCTATCTATCTATCTATCTATCTATCTATCTATCTATCTATCTATCTATCTATCTATCTATCTATCTATCTATCTATCTATCTATCTATCTATCTATCTATCTATCTAAATGCTCCGGCATTTTCCCACAACCCACAACCTGCAATAAATAAGGTTGAAACCCTTCTTAAAAAGTATTTTTTAAGATTTATTCTGTTTTGTCAGGGTAATTGCCTTTGAATTAGTAAAATGAAAATGAAATTTTCAACTCGGCTCGTGTGTAGCTCAAAAAGTGATAGCTTAGTCTTTGTCACGAGATACTTTGTCGTTGCCACGAGTTACTAAGTCATGGCCACGAGATAGCTAAGTCGTGGCCACCAGATACTATGACGTGGCCACGAGATAGCTAAGTCGTGGCCACCAGATACTATGTTGTGGCTACAAGTTACTAAGTCGTGGCCACGAGATAGCTAAGTCGTGGCCACCAAATACTATATCGTGGCCACGAGTTACTAAGTCGTGGCCACGAGATAGCTAAGTCGTGGCCACGAGATAATTAACAATTCAGAATACGCTATATATTATGATTTTTTAAAACTTAACAACTTACTTTTACATGCAACATAATCTTTGAAAATACTGAAGATATTCGCTTTGAACTTGTCTTAAGGATCGTATTAAAAAGTCACCTTCCAAGGCCCATCGGGCATTAATTTTGACTATAGCTCTTTGTTGGGACAATTTTGTGATCGAATGGTCAGTTTGCCCATTCATAAATTGTTTTATCATAGTATTATCATTCTTCGTCTGCAATTTTAACATGAGTTGTTATGGGTTTATTGATAGGCATGTAAAGACACTGATGGGTCAGACGAGGTCATTAAAATAGTAGATTATCCTCCCAAATAAATCAATTGACAGCCTTTGTTCATTTTGACTATTATGTTGTATGTTCCAAAGAAAATACCACATGAACTTGAAATTCTATCAAATAACCAATATTAATGATAATATCCAAAAAATACCCCTACATAGTACAAATAAACTTATACCAAATAGGGGGTATATTTTGGATATTATAGACCTGTATATTTTTGATATTATCGTTAACATTGATAGAATTAAAGTTCCTGTTAAAAAAAATTTAATACTCAAATCTCTAGCATGCCTACCAAAGTTCATGATGAACAATGTCTTTCGTCCGCCCATTCATAAATGATATAAAATACTGGTTAAAACCAATTAACCATTGAAAAGTTTATAAGAATATCTGGTCATCAGATGTCTACTAGTGCATCTTCACTTGCTGCATTTCTTGCTTGGACACCCTTTGATGCTTTGCATCAATGCTTTTCTTGTAGTAAATGAAACGAGTAAGTTACGAGGATATAACACTGGCTGAGCGACATCTCGGGTTGTTTCTGCAAATAATTGTCATTTTTAGCAGAAACATCCCTTCATGTCGCCCCAGCCAGTGTTATATCCTCGTAACCAACTCGTTTCATGTACTCATTCGGAACTGCTTCGGCTATTATCTATAATAAAAAATTGGTTAAATCGTTTTGTATATATGTTAACCTTATTTCATCCATAGTGGGAATGGAAATTTTAAAACAAAAGGACGTAATTTGGTAAATTGAATCCGAACCGCAATATGGACTTTACCGAGAATATAACTGTAGCGCCACCTGTTAGCATAATTTGGGTGTCACATATTATTACACCAGATGTCGCGTCGTATTATAAATGCTGCATTCGGCTTTCGGCTATGCGTCATTCAAGCTGAGTAAATAAATCCAAATAGTTAAGTTATTGAATTAATGTACCAATTGATCGTTAAATAACGATATCAACATACAATTAAGCAAGACGCACACAGCAGAAAGCATAATGTGCATTTAAGAAAGCAACTTGTAAAAGTCAGAATGCAAGATGTACACGGCATAATGCAAGATGTACAAGTCAGAATGCAAGATGTACAAGTCAAAATGCAAGATGTACAAGTTAGAAAGCACGATGTAACGTAAGAAAGCAAGATGTAATTTTGGCGTTAATACCTCAATATCATTCCATAAATACCTTTCCATAGTGACTTTTATTCCAAATCAACGTATGCCTACCTTGACTTTCAAAGCAACACAGCACTCTGATTTATCGTTGTAAATATGATTGTGTGGTAGATTTTTGTTTTCAGAAATCTTGGTTCGTTACTAGGCGATTGTCTGAAATTTGCACTCCACAGGGAAGTTCAGGAAGACTCTGTCACTAACAGTTTGTTCATTAGCTCCGTTATCCCAGTGCCAATCGCCACCAATATGATGGTCATATGGGGGTTGCGTTCATTGAACGCCGCCTTTCCTTGTTGATCTTGTTGATCTTTTTCATCATATTTTAACAATGTCTAAAGAACAACATATGATTGCAGTTTCTACACGTTGTCATATAACAGATACACACGTCCAAAGCGCCAAAAATCTTTCTGAACATTTATGAACAACATCAACCTAATAGAATATCACCACAATTTCTAGCTATACTTAAATGTAATAGAAGCTATACGGGGTGAAATGAACACCCTCATAATACGTGTTGGTGCAGTGCCACAAACCACCGCCTACAAATATGCGAAAATTGTCCAGTAGTGAATAAATAAACTCAAATATTATGAAAAATATTGGTTTACATCCATACGACAACGCAGTCGGATTGTAATCAATAGTCAGGACAGGCATACAATATTAGAATAATTTTCAATGATACATTTATTTTGTTGCATTTGCGTATAACGCAATATCACATTTATTTGGCATGTTCATCAAATTTGTGTTTCTTTTGAAATTTAATAATTGGAATATTTATCATGACTTTCAACTGTATTTATTGAAAATTTCAGCAGGATCTTACCAAAATTGGCACACATATGACACCATTTATACATGCACACTTATAAGACTAGTTAAGTGTATTTCAAAATAGTGACTGTTAAAATGGTGATTGACCAACAGTTCTTATTGGAAAAAGTTTAGGGTAAAATTTAAATCTGCCTGAAATATAAAAAGACTGCCCCACTCTTTTTATGAAATGAACGTTTAGGTAAATTCTAATGGATATTTACGAAAATTTCGTTTGAATCCATGCGTTGTTTATTGTTAATGTGAAATAAATTTTTATATTAAAAGGAATTATGGCAAAATGAAAACTTATTTTGACATTCACTTCTGCACTCATTTGGTATTGGATGGGCATAATGTCACAACGGTCGGTGTTTATGCTAAAATTGATCGATGTAAGGCCATTCAGGCTCAGTAATAACAGTGCTTAATCGTTTCAGGCTGATTTGGAATATTTCCCCGTTCCTGAACTGATTTGGATTTATAGCACCGAATTGATAAAGATAAAATGGATTTTTAGCTTGACGAGGTAAGAAAATATATATAATAAACACATTTACATGTTTTAGTCTTTGAATATTCTACTTGCACGGAACATTGCAATGTTTAAGGAATTCATATCAACCAAGGCCAAAAAAATCTGTGTTTAGAAATAATCAGGGTTTTCACTAGGAGACTCCCAAGCGAAAAAGTGGGAGTGCCAAATCACGTTGAATATGTTAAACTGCCTTTCCTGCATTTATGTAGTTGACGAATATGATGAATAAGTAGAGTATTTAGAAAAATGATAATATGTTCCAAATGGAAAACACGGTTTTGTTAACAAGTGATTGAAAATATTTGAAATATAATTTCTAAAACTTACATATATATATTTATATTTATATACTGTTTTCTTCCTGATGAACTCCACAGAGTCTAATGTTCGTCAATATCTTTTAAATACTTTAACAAATTTCTTTTTTACTGTCAAGTAAGTAGGTCATATATATTTTTAGCTCTTCGAAATTTCTGACACGTGAAAAAAAACCCTCTAGGGTCGGCGACTTTTATTGGTAGGGTCGGGTTCCCCGAAACACAGGTATTTTTGTTTTTGCACGGTGAAAGAAAATTGTTCAATGATATAAAATACCAATTTGAATACAAGTGTAGAAATAGAGACGATACTGTGACAGAATTTTTAAATTATTTGTAATTTATTGAAATATTTGAATATTATCTTTAATGTATGGGACGTAAATCATTTTGAATTATAGAATTAATTCATAAAGAGTTAATTCGCTTTTCGTTTTTCGGACAAGTTAATGATACCTTTGCGAATTCTTATATTTATCAGATTATCTGTACTGCTTCAAATTTTGTTAGAATCAAATGTATACATGTATCATTGTAAGGTTGATAGGAGGATGCTCTTCGACCCCTATCATGCCAATGACGGGGAAAATTAATGGGGTTACCCCTGAACAGGGCGCCCGAAACGGAAAAAATTAAGGAATTTATATACAACTTTATAAGGTTTTAAGCTATTTTTCAAAAAAGTATCATATATCATATATCATCATATCTACAGACATGCAAGCATCAGAAAGGGTGGGAGGAGGGTAGTAGTATGGAAAGTACATCGCAAGAAATTGAGAGGGTAGATAGGAATAGGTACGAGGAGGGGTAAATGTTTTCTAAAACAAGTTTAATGTACTTGAAAAAAACGAAAAAAGAACAGCAAAACAACAAAAAACAAAACAATAAAAATTTCAACTACAGCAATTCATTTGATTATTTCATTGACGCTGCATGCCTCCAGAGAAGCAGTAAGAGCTATTTTATACTATTTTGACCTCTTTGTGGGAATTTTCGTTGATTGCAAGTGCTGTTTACAATGTGTAAATTATTTTCTTTGTTAAATTCACAATGTGTTGCTTTTGAATAATCTTTTTAAAAATTCATGAAAAATAGCATGAATCTCGAGGCATGCTGCTTTATTTCAAAAGAAATATTAAATTTTGTATATTATCTTTAGGCATTAGAATACAGATCAAAGGAGTGTTTGTAATTCCGCTCCATTAGTGCATTAAAGAAATAACATTAAAACTGGCAGTCATTGAGGTAGATGGGAACCAAACAGTAGAGCAACACACGAATTATTTTGGAAGAAGAACACGACAAGGTATCACCCAGCATGAATAATAATAAAAGAAGATCTTCAACACAGCGGTTGAATGAAAAACAACGCTCAAAATGTATAAGCCTTGGTATAACGTTTTTCAAACCTAAACACAGACAATATTGTACTCTGGACTCACGTTTAAAATCATATGAAAATGAAAATTGGATTAAAGATAAAACACCGGGGGTAAAAGAACTAGCAGAGGCCGGACTTGCATATACAGGTGTTGCAGACTCTGTGAGTTGTTACTACTGTAATATCGGCCTACAAAACTGGCCGAAAGACGCCTGTCCTTGGGAACAGCATGTAGTAGCCAGTCCTGATTGTGCCCACGTAGCTCAGTGCAAAGGTAAAGCTTATGTTAGAAAGATTCTAGGGGAAAACGATCAAGATTCAGATTTTGAAGTGGACGATTCAAAGGATTTCGTTGATACTGTGGAAGAAGCTATTAAGAGAAACGGAGCAGCTGTGACTGCAGCTAAGAAGTATCATACTAACGAACAAATCATAAATAAAGCTGTCAAATCGTTAATAAATTCTAGCGCTCTAAAACCCTTCAATGCTGTTGAACTTATAGCTGCTATTGAAGAAGTTGAAAAAGAGTCTAAAAAGCGAAAACAATCAGAACAGTTGGCCAATAACTCGCAAGCAAAATCTGAAGATGTAGAAACTGATGGTGATACGTCTGAGTCAGATGAAGAAGATGAAGAACTAAACAGACGATTGAAGAAAAGCCTTACTTGTAAAATTTGTTTCAACGCGGTTATTTCTATAATTACATTACCATGTGGCCACATGATTAGCTGTTCCCAGTGTATACCACCACTCACTAGATGCGCAGTCTGTCGGGCCGATATAAAAGGAACTGTTCGAGCCCTGATGGCCGTTTAAATACATGTTTTTGTTTGAGTTTTTATGCTCCCCGAACAAAAGGGGGGTTTATATTCGCCGCTTTGTCCGTCAACATTTCGTAGTTATGTTGTTCTTTCCCACGATTTAGCTTAGCATCTTCATTCATTGAGCGATAAATTCCATATATGGTTGCTAGGTAGATGGTTTGGATGGCCACGAGTTCTGTGTCACTGATGTCAAGGTCATTGGTCATAAAATAGATGTTTACATTCTTTAAACATCATTCATTAACCGATGTCTTTCATATTTTGTAAGTACATACCTTTTGTGGTCCTCTAACTTTGCTTGTAATTAGGGGTCACGTAGGTCAAGGTCACCGGTACTAGAAATAGATTTATACACTTTTGCTCAATCATTAACCAATGTCTATCATATTTGGTATGATATACATGTACCTTTGGATGGTCCTATTACTTGATTTAAGCTATCAAGATCATTATCAGTGAATATTTTGCATTGTACATAGTATATAAACGAAAGTGCAATTTTGGGGAGCATCCTTTAGCGATATGTTTTGTTGTTTAATATGTTGTAAGCTATAGTATTAATTTTCAGCTCTCCATCCATATTTATTATTTTGTTTAAAATCATATAATTTTCCGCATCAGTTAAAGACTTGTGTTTAGTTAATATCCCTGTTTCAAATTTATCTTAAGTAATGTATGTACACAATGTAGTATACTTCCGATTATTTGCGCAGTGTATCCAATAAGAAAGATAAAACGCTGGTTGTAATAAAGATAATATATAAATAAATAAAAGCATAAATGCTTATTAATTTTCTTTTCACTATTCTATGATAGGGCACAATAGTTATGTGGTTTTCCTTGTACACCGTGAATGTTGTGAAGTTTGCTGATATGTCAAATCTAAATGTAATTATTTTGCACAAACTAGTTTAAATATTTTGGTAAACTGGCATTGTTTTAATTTATTTCCTTTCGTGTTCACCAAGACGTGTGTGCTGAGATAGGATAGTGAAACGTATATTTAAAAAGACTATAGCCTTGAAGGTCATAGTGATCTGGATATGCAGCTATCCACATTATACCATAGGCCATAGTGGTCTCGGTATATGGCTGCAAAAAGTATAGGTCAAAGTGAACTATATATGTTCAGCTGCAAAGCATATAGAAGATCAAAAAGATGTCTATATGGAACTGCACTGTATATAAGAGACCAAAGTAAACTGGATCAAAGTGCTTCACAGTGTATATAGGACTTTTTAGTTATGCAGATTCATGATAAATGCATCATTATACGCCCGAAAACAATTCGACGTATAATGTTATGCACCTGGTCGTCCGTCCGTCTGTCAGCAGTTTTCGTGTCCGATCTGTATCTTAATAAATCGGTTTGAAGAAAATTGAAACTAACAGGCAGAAATGTTAAACATATTGAGACGATGTGCAGAGCTCAGATTTGACCTTCCTCAGGTCAAGGTAATTTTGAATCAGTTTCAAAATTTTGTGTCTGCATTGTATCTTTTGAACCAATGGAAAGAATTTTAAAAAATGCAGAAATATTAATTATAATGCGACAATGTGCATAACACATGTTCGGGCTTCCTAAGATCAAAATTGTCGGGGATTACTTGATTTATATAGGAAAACACATTGTAGTTTCATATAATGAAACTACAATGTCTAGAGCTTTGATATTTAGCATGTAACATTGACCTTGACAAAATTGATATAAATCATGCCCCTTGGTTCAATATTGGCCCTGCCACAGGGGTCACTTGATTTATATAGACTTGTATAGGAAAAACACATCTGACACGTGTGAAACGTCGATGCACAGAGCATATAACGTCACTTTGTTGACCGGAAAAGTATTGGTATTAATCATGCCCCTTGGTGTCGATATTTGGCCCGCTCCGGAGGACACTTGGTTAATATAATTTTGTATAAGAAGACACATTTCAGTCTAATTTTGTTGAAACTACAATGACTATACTTCAGATTTTTGACATGTAGTATTTCCTTTTTGATCTCTACAAAACTAGTATAACTCAAGCCCCTTGGGCCAATATATGCTTTGCCTCTGGGGTCACTAAGATGTTGTAGTCTTGTATGAGAAAACACATTTCAGTTTAATTTTGTAAAAATACAATGCTCAGAGCTTAGATATTTGGCATGTAGCATCATTTTTTTACGTTTTAAAATTATATATACTACGTTTTAAGTTATTATTCATGTCCCTCATGTCAAAATTGGCTCTGATCCAGGAATCACTAGCTTTATGTAGACTAAGGTATAGGAAGGCACATGATAAATGCAAGAACTCTATACTTGGCATAAAGCAATGCCTAGTAGACTTCTATTAAAGTTTAATGAATAATGCACTTACAGTCTCCCCTGATCTTGGATGTAATGTCAAATAGTGTTATAAATTATAAACAAAATTAAGTTGGAACATTTTAAGACAAGTTTCATGATTTGGTCTCTACCCAAACATATAAATGTTTCAATAAGGGTTTGTTTGAATGTTATGCATCGTTTGGTTGTAAGATTTTGTGAAAACTCTTTATTATTTGGAGTCCGTTAAGCAACAGTTTCTTCGTACGCATTGCATATTTTGGGCACACCATGACGGAAGGAATATCTCAATGAAGACTGCATAAAAATCCAAACAAACATGGGTAAATATAGAGGAAAGTCAGGAGGGTAGAATCACATTCCGATTTTCTTAAAAAAACCTTTGAATTTTATATAAATGTTTAAAAAGATGAAAACTTACCCTGCGATTGACCTGTTTATACAGTCACATCTGGTGTTATGCTTCACATCTGGTGCAGCTGAAATTCACATATAATTTTTACCGATGCTCATTTTTGAGATACATATGGGGTTCCACCCCCGTGTATCAGTTTGGTAAAATATAAACAAAAGAGATACAGACATGCGTATTTTACGGACAAAAACTGATATACCTGTACGAAAAATGCTACTTTTTCGTCTGATGCCATCCAAAATCAGTTTGACTTCCTGTAAAATTTACAGAGAAGGATTGAATATACATAAAATTTCCATGTATCATTTTAAAATTACAAAATGAAATCCGGGAATCACATTAGCCATTCTAAAATAAGTGAAATAATATAAATGATGTTTCTGAAATGGTTTAAGCGTCAAAATTTCAATTAATCTAAAGCTAAGAGATTCAGAAACGAACATAATCATAAGTTTTTTTTATTTCCCTTTCAAGTAAAGTTTCTGTTGAACTACAAGTTATTTTTAATCACAGATAACGTTGACGTAATTTCATGCGCATGAAAATATCCCAAGCACACAAAAACTAATCTTGCCTGTATTATGTCAAATTAGTGACTGGTGTGATCAATAGATATAAAAATTATAATATTCATGTAGTTTTTCCATATGAATGAAATATTTATACAACCGCCAACGATGAAATGGTTTGTCAAATGTAATTGCTTTCAAAAAGAACCTTTAGAATGCACATTTGTTTCCTGATAATAAGTGTTTGCACTTTACAGTACCGTCCATGAACAGACTCAATCAAACCGAGCCTGCAACAGTTTCAATTTTGCCGTGTTGGGCTTTCTTTAGGGATTCTTATTTTCTCTATTTCGTATGGTGGCTTGTTTTGCCATTTTGTGTCCCTCTAAAGTCGAAGGCGAAGACACAAAGACAAGATAATATGCTAACTTGTCTTCGGGTCATGCCCCCCCCCCCCACTTAAAGTTGAAGACACGATAATGATAAGGAGGAATCACAGACAATAAAATCCCCCGCCAAAAAGGAGGAAATACATTTCATAGGGGAAGTAACCCTTACATACATATAAAAATCCAAGTAATGACACTCGTAAAAATTGATGAAAAGTTATAGGCCGATAACTGATCCTCTAAGAAGACAAATTTACGAGACTGTTATGATAAAATATGTCACAATTTAGTGATCTAAATATTAGTATAGTACTTTAAAAATGCTGTTTCATTGAATTCTAACTGATAATATGAATATATGAACTTAAATATAAAGATAATTTGAAAAAATAATAAATTCTTAACACAGCAATGTGCTTTCAAAATATGTGTACATTTAGGTCCGAGTGGGAGCATCTCTGAAGATGAGACCGAGTGGGAGCATTTTCCATTTTTATAAAAAGAATTAAGAAAAACTGATTTCTGAATGGAAATATTTGAAACTAATCTAGAAAAATGGATAAACATGACTCGGTTTATGTTCCGGTACGTTAAAAATAATTTTCAAGAAGGTTTTCAACCTTATTTCATATATGTTTCGGGAAAAGTCCGAGTGGGAGCATTCAGAGAAAAACACTTATCCCGTTTTCAGGCTTAAACCAGGCAATAAATCTATAAACTATTTTTACAATTATCTCAAGTACTATAGCCATTCTTTGGTGCGCTACATGATTTTTTAATACTCTTACGTTTTCTTATAATAAAATTGTATTTTACCTTCGAATCGACAAAAAAATGGTCCAAGTGGGAGCATTCAGCAGGTGCGCGATGACGTAGTATCCTACCATTGAATATAAAAAGAAAATTCCTTTAAACATCTGGAAAAAAGTGATCCCTCGGAAGCATTATAAACAAACAGTAAAAAAAACCCTGAAAATTGCTTTTAAAGCGGCATGCTTCCAGATGAGCAGACAATTTAAAAGTTTTTTTTAAGAAAAGTAAAAATATTCACAATTCAAGTTGCTTTAAATTATAATGCTATGAAGAACTTCCTTTATTTTATTTCTATTTATAATGTATTTTTATGCTTAATTTTCAGCTTGCGAATAGCACTACACTGGAATGGAGTATTGATTGTAATCAACTCTTTTTTCTTATATCTCCAACCTTCTAATATCACTTAAATATCACTAAAATTACATTCAGGAACATGCTTAGCATGTAGATTTAAAAAGAATAAACATCTATATAGATGAAACAGGAAGTATACCAAATTTCGTAAGACTAATATTTAACCTTCGTTAAAAGTGTACAAAATGTTAAAAGTAAAACATGGAAATATTTATACCTGTGTACACATTTTGTTCAAATCCGCCATATTTTAGTGGCTGTACATACGTACCATTTTCTCCGGGGGATTTTCCTCGAATTGCGAAATTTTAATAATATAAATAGCACGGGGGAGGAAGTGTTACCCGAAGGATGGAGTTTTTATGATAACTTGTTCAGGAGTTCTTGTGATAACTGTCACGGAGTTCGTCGGAAAACATCTGTATATACTACAAAACACTCGTTAAAAGCGGTTATTTTCATCTCTCCAAAATGAGTTTTAGGTGCTAAATTAAACTTTAATGATTAAGCTTGTCTTACATCTTGTATTATATGTCAAAAACTAATTCACAGGCTATTTTTAAATGCCTCTTGCTTCAAATCTGGTAGTTTTGAGTAAAATTTCCAAATTACTTGCCAATTCACAAGTTTTGACCTGTTTATTTCTGGTCTTCATCATTGCCATACATAATTACCTAATTATAATACAAAATTGCAAACATAAAGCCCCGGCTAACAGATTTATACCCGATTTTTCAAACGTCCCTTGTGTTCTAGATGTCACAGAGTTCTTATGATAACTTTTGTTATTGCCAGTGTGTTTCTTGCGCTAAATCACGGCACGTTTTAGCATTTTTTATTATTCAATGAGATTGTAAATCATTATGAAATGTAGTACGCTCATCCTTTGCGCAAAAACTAGGATATATATTGTTGGTTTTGAGTGGATTTTAGTTCAAGAGATATTATTTCTTACCCCCGTTTCTTTTTCATAGTATTTTTTATTTGACGCAGATTTCGTAGACTGGAAAAAGGATTTATGTACTGGTTTCCTAGCAGTTTCCGGCCCCTAGCAGTTTTATGGTCCTTTATCATTTTCATCCAGACATACAGTCTATATTTTCTCAGTTAAGCATCTTTGTTACTGCATAAATTATAGAAATATTTGTTTTCTATGTAAAACAGCAGTTTTAATAGTACAGCGATTAATATGTTTCAAAGTTTTGTCTGTTGTTTTAAGTTACATTAGAGAACTTGCGACACTTACAAGCAACACCTGGGGAATTCTAGTTTGAATGCCCATTCTAGGTAAATCTGGAACCTGGAGGGACAGTTCAATTTTTTTCGAGAGATCGGTAGTTAGAGCCAACCGCAATTGAGTTTTTATCATGTATCGTATTTTTTTAAGACATAATTGTGGAAATTATCCTGGTTAGATACTTATTTATTATGGTATAAAATGATACAAATTACTTAGCCCTTAGGTAAGGGAAGCATGCCTATATATTGTCTGCTTAAGAAAGGTGGTTGCTTAAAACATGTAAAATTGAGAACAACGCGTACGTTTTGAGACATTTTTGTTATGTGGTTTAAGCCATTATACTGCTGAATATCAGTGGCCGCTGGTTCAATTTTTACTGTAGATGATAGCCTATCACCTATTTATCCTTTGCAGACACTTAAGACCAACGTTTAATCCACATTTTTGTGCAAAGGATGATCGTACTGCATTAAGTAATGATTTACAATCTTATTGAACGATAATAAACGCCAAAACGTGCCGTGATTTAGCGCAAGAAACACACTGGCAATAACAAAAGTTATCATAAGAACTCTGTGAAATCTTCAGAGTTATCACAAGAACTCCGGTACATTTGAAAAATCGGGTATAAATCTGTTAGCCGGTGCTTTATGTTTGCAATTTTGCATTATAATTAGGTAATTATGTATGGCAATGATGAAGACCAGAAATAAACCGGTCAAAACTTGTGAATTGGCAAGTAATTTGGAAATTTAACTCAAAACTACCAGATTTGAAGCAAGAGTCGATGAAAAATAGCCCGTGAATTAGTTTTTGACACATTATACAAGATGTAAGACAAGCTTAATCATTAAAGTTTAATTAAGCACCTTCATTAAAGTTTAATTAACCACCTAAACTCATTTTTGAACGATGAAAATAACCATTTTTGACGAGTATTTTGTAGTATATACAGATGTTTTCCGACAACTCCGTGACAGTTATCACAAGAACTCCTGAACAAGTAATCATAAGAACTCCATCCTTCGTGTAACACTTCCTCCCCCGTGAATAGAGAAGGTGTGAAATCACTATGTATAAGGTTTCAGGACGGCTTTTTTGTTAGCGTAAAATGACCTAAAGTGGTAGATCTATAATTATATAGGAAAGTTTTATTAAGTAATTTATGATATTGTATGATTCTGTTTTCGAAGAGTGATTTAATTTTGTATTGCGATCGCGGATTTCCGTCGACTCCGGTAGCGGATTTGCTTCACTGATTCTTTTTATATTGCTTTCATCATGTGACAAATTTTAAAAATAGAATTATTGGGGAAACCAAAACAGACGTAAGATCATTCAGGAATTTCCTATATTTGAACGGATTAACAAAGGTAAGCTGTTTTCATTTTGTTATTTACTCCCATATTAAAAGTTAATGAAGATTTAAGGTTGTTAAAACTTTGATGTTTCAGTACCATATATTGTTTGTGAAAGTTTTCATGGTGAAATTATAGTTAAATGATCCTACAGCGTACACTCCTTGTCCAATAAAATTTCCGCTTGCGAGCACAGGGACTCGGCACAGTGTTGGGATTATGATAAAAAGTAATTCTAAATCTATCTATCTATATATATACTTTATCTATAATAAAGTGTGTTTCTCTAATTGCTCCCACTCGGCCCTTTTCCACAACCTGCAAGAAATAAGGTTGGAACCCTTCTTAACGTACCGGACATAAATCGAGTCATGTTTACACATTTTGCTAGATCGTTTTCAAATATTTCAATTTAAAAGTCAGTTGTTCGTATTTATTTTTACTCTTTTTTTATAAAAATAAGGTTTGTAGAGTAATTGCCCTTGACTAAGTAATCATCTGCAATTTTCAACTTGTGTCGCACGGAGCTCAAAAGGATTTTAGAGTCGTGAAACTTTATAGGAATGTTGCTCAGCATGTGAAGATGTGCACGTTGTGTTTCACTTGTGGATTTATTCTGTTTTGTCAGAGTTAAATCCCTTGAATTAGTAAAATTTCATAATTTTCAACTTGGGTCGTGCGTAGCTCAAAAAGTACTTGACCTAAAGTCATGAAACTTTATCTATACAGAAATGTTGGTTGGCATGTGTAGTTGTGCACCTATGGTTTGACTGTGGATTTATTTAGTATTTGAAGAATAATTGCCTTTGACTTAGTAAAAACGGTTCCATTATGTTGTGTTATGTGTTCCTTGAGTGCTTGAGTTAGAATCAACCAACTTAACAGGAATTATGATCAACATTAATGTGAAGCTGTGCGCCTTGGGTTTTGCATGTGGATTTTTTCCAATTTTGTTAGAGTTATTGCCCTTGACTTAGTATAAATTGCAATTTTCGACTTGTCCATGCATAGCTAAAAAGTTTTCGACCTGTAGGCCTGAAAGTTTACATAAATGTTGGTCAGCATGTGTACTTATGCACCTTTAGGTTTGCTTGTGGATTTATTCAGTATTTGTAAAGTTCTTGCCCTTGACTTAGTAAAAGCTTTTTAGTTTTCAATTTGTGTCACATGTAGCCCCAAAAAATATTTGACATAGAGTCATAAGTTTGACAAAACAGTGGAGTGTCGGGGCATCCGTAGCCTTTGGACACATTTCTAGTTGTTTTTGAACATTATCTATGTATCTTACTTATCCCTATTTGAAAGCAAAAAGGTTTAGTTTAATTATATAATTTACATAGTTTTTGGGGAGGCTATGCCGACCCAATGTTAATAACTGTCTGTCAAATCTTACTGCCGCGGTAATCAGGTCAAAAAATAGTACCTTGATTTCTTCTAAGCTGACTCATCACTCATCACAGACATTTACAATATGAAAATATTTTCATTCTTTAATTTCATATCTGCAATTTGTAAAGATAATAATTCTCTGAAAAATTCTTGATTTTTGTTTAAATCACTACTCCGTGACGTCATACTGCCGCGGTAATCAGGTCAAAAAATAGTACCTTGATTTTTTCTAAGCTGACTCATCACTCATCACAGACATTTACAATATGAAAATATTTTCATTCTTTAATTTCATATCTGCAATTTGTAAAGATAATAATTCTCTGAAAAATTCTTGATTTTTGTTTAAATCACTACTCCGTGACGTCATACTGCCGCGGTAATCAGGTTTAGGCATACGTATGTCTGTAATAAATAGTTCTGGTATGAAAACCCTTCAAAATAATAACTTTATCCATATTTTTTTAACAAAAAGCATAAATGAAAATTTATAAGTAAATGCTTTAATTCAGTGGCAAATATTCTTTATTATTTTTGATAACAATTTTCCAATTACTACGCAGCGACCAACTGTTTATGACGGGTCATTAACTAGAACGTTGCAACTACGTATTCTCAATATCATGCATGTTCTTTTGTTGTTATAAACTATTAATAGTCCTTAATATTTTTTAAAGACAAATAATTGTAAACTGTCGCTTACATCAGAGACATGTATCATGCTTGCGTGATAACTAGGGAAAACTAACTTATTTGTAACACCCAGGAGGCTGTACGCGGAAAACGCTCATAAACCGCTAAATCATATAGCTGTTTAGTAAATATTTTGCATACATTTAACTAAAAATTCACTGATGGTGATGAACATATAGTTTAAAAACATTATATATTCTTTAACCATTATCGCCGAAAAAAAAACTATTTAACTACAAAACCCCTAAGGACCTCCGACAAAATTCCAGCACAATATTACATTTTACATTAGCAAAATAAAAAAGCAATACTTATATTTTCATCTTACATAATTCATTAATCAAACTTTTAACATAAAAGTATCTTTGGTAATTGAAAGATCCCTACTCTGATCTTTTATTTGTATAGGAATAAATTTAAACATGTGCTCTTTTGTTTAGGAATATTTTGTAGTGAAAGTCTTATATATTCACTAATCTCATAATTAGAATTAGACAGGTCAGGAATTTATACAAACAGTTGTTTAGTTAACTATGCTCATTTTAATCCCAATAGAAACATTCAAATATTTGTGGTAAAAAACATGACCAAAGTACCTAGTAGTCGTTTACCCGGTGGTGATCCCATTAAACTGATTATAGATTCGAATTGATTAGAAAACACAAATAGAAACATGTGTTTCCGTACAACAAAATCGGAAGTAAAGTGAACAGTTAATTGACAGAAATATGTGGTCAAATATGTTTTAACAAGGAAATAATTATTTCAGAGAAAGACGCAAAGATCAGTATGACCCCGTATTGTGTAATTAGAAAGTTTATTCAATTCTAGGGCATACATCATAATTTGATAGTCCATTTGTAATAAAATTCAAATTTTCAATACAGATTATGAGATACATAAAAAATATTAAAGAATAAGAAGCTTTAATTAAAAAACAAAAACAAAAAAAACAAAAAAAAAAAACCGCATACATATACAAATTACTTACAGTCGAGCATCGGGAAGTCATTAACATATCTTACGAAACTTTAATTTGAAACCGATATTTGCTCGCGCTGAAGTGATAAATGTTTATTTGAAAAATAAAAAAAAAGAACTTTTATGGTTGTGTTCTAAAAATAATGGGCGGCATAAGAGGAATTTCTTATTCATTTTACAACACTTGAAAAATTACTACAGAAAATGTGTTGTTGTTTTGTTTTCAACAAAAGTGTGTGTGTTTTTAAGTTTATTTATACTCGGCGCCGGAATAACCATATGTCCGAGATTATAGCATCTGGGACGTCTTTTTCAAGCAGATTCTTCCTGGAAGCCCATTCTTCGTTCTTTAATTGGTGGTAAAGGAGACGACAATACCGTCAAGGCATCAACTTTCTGACTGACGACAACAAAAACGGCATCTATTAGCGCCAAACCTCCAGAGTAAGTCACGACAGGTCAACCAATCACCTCTGGTACTTATGATGACTTGACTATGACCTTCCGTGTGCCTTCTCCGCGACGTGCACGCCTCTGAAGGTATTTGGAGAAGTTTCAACAAACACTTCCAAAACACGCCATTTATAACACCATTCATAGCACTGACGGCTTCGATGTTCTCATCTATTTGCGGGGAAATGGTCGACAGGGAAAACCCTACGTAATAACCGCACACCCTGTTAACAACAGATTTTCCGCAGTATATATTTCAAGCTAGTGAGGTTTAAAAATACACGTAGAATCTATCGATTAACTACCATAAGTTGGTTGAGTGTTGAGTGTTGGCGGTAAAAAAAGAAGATATAACTTCCTGATCAATTTTCACTTAGGTTGATTCAGTTTTGAATAAGCTTTGCAGAGATGTATTTTTTCAAGAAATATTTAGCTTTAATATTATCCGACGCCGTCAGTAATGAAATGGGATTAATTTTCTGAAACGTGATTTTATTCGAGATTTGCTTCTGAAGAAGACAACCTTCTGTCCGTAGAGCATGAATGTTAATTAATACTCATCACAAGACAGTATCTTATTGATCTCAATTATGGTACATCTAAACGTGTATAATTTTTATGTTCAATAAAAATGTTGCATCACTTGCAGTTGTTATTATCATTCAATAATATTAAAATGACATAAAATATTTATGATGAACAGTCCTAGAATATTTTGATAAGGAACCGTCAGTTGTAAAATGTTATTGTTATCTGATAATGAACAGTCGTCATACTTGCTGGTATGTCATTTATTATTGACAGTTTAGGTTTTTCAAAATTTGCATGATTAACAGTCCGAATGTAGACCTTAATTAAATGTTCTGGAATATTAACAAAATGAATAGTCAACCTCATTAACCATATATATGAATGGTTGAACACAACAGTAAGGATAAATAGCGCAATGTGCATATCTTTTTATTTTGGTAGTATATTTTAAGCAAAAAGAAAAGAAACTATAAGTCTGAAACATTCTCTCATAGCCTCCCCATCAGTACATTCAGTGCTTTGATTTATATTGGCTTCATAGTGTTAAATCTTATGACAAATATGGTACCTGATATTTTCAATGAACTACACAGGAAAAGTAGATCTGTTTAATATTTAAAATATCAACTAATATATTTTTGAGAAAATTTATGGAAACTTTAAAAACAGCCCCTCATTTTGGTATTTTTTAGGGATATTTTAATTAGGCTCTATAAGAAGGAAAATAGGTTCTCTAAGTAGGTAAATGGTCAAACACGTATTAGAAATGGGTGGATTATGGTAACTGCATGCTAGGTGCCTACATGTAACTCCTTTATTTCAATGCTTAATTCATCTGCATTTGTTCTCTACTATTTGTTGGATACTTTTAAGCTCGACTAATAACAAAAAGGATCGAAGATATATGCCCAGCTGTAAATGCATTGATGTTTTTACGTAATATTATATCTTTATTTCTTTAATCTTTATTTTAGTTTTATATATGTACATACATCAAATAATATAGGCATACACACAGGACTTTTCCCAGTGTCACTTTGTGCCAGACTATCTGATCCATTCTTAATTACAATTATGATTATATTTAACCCAATTAAAAAAGAAACCCAAATGTTGTTTCCATATAACCTTTATTTAAGAAATCAAATCAAGATTGTTAATGAAATGTGTATCATAGTTTGGGGACCTTTCTGTTGAAAATGTGTCAGAGTTAAATCGTATACATATACATGCACAGTGCGTTAACTGGAGTGCAGGTATTAGTTACCCGCACTCCAGAGCATGCCCATTGATTGGCTCATTTTGCTGGGGTTTTCTTATTGTGACGGAAGAGAAAGGGAAAGCGATAGAAATATCATATTCAGATGCTCGTTCATTGGTTACTTTTTCCCGGGGTTTCATATTGTGACAACAGGGAACGTGTTTTTATGTTTGACTATGATACAAAAGAGAAAGAACACCAAAACACTCGGTAATCTGATTTATACTCGGGGGCTACGTCCACTCGTACAAATTAGATAGCCTCGTGTTTCGGTACTCTTTCTATTACTTAGATAATGTTGCTCTGTATATTTACATGTACCTTGTTAAGCTAGCTAAAAATAAAATCATCTTATGTTTATGTAAATAACTTTCAGCTCTAGAATTGGACACCCATTGATTGCATCATACTATTAAACTTTCTGCAGAGTCATTTGTAGGTCAATTTGCCTTTTTTATTCTTTGTGCTATTTAAATATAAGTTTCAATTATTTCTATTCAGAATAACTTTTTGCAAACTTGGCGATCACTTGTTCAACGTAACTTTGCACTGTTTATACAATATCACTTCTCCACCCTGTATGTTATTTTGTTTTATTAAAAGAGTGATCTTGTTCACTGAATACATTTCGTGATCTTGTTCACTGAATACATTTCATCAAAACAACCTTTTGCTTTTATCCTCTATGTAGTTAAAGTTACAATTTTTCCAATTTCTATTAGAGAGTAAGATAATTAACCCCTGGGGTGAGTAACCCGAAGCTTTCGTTAAAATCACGCTAACGAAAGCGTTAGCGATCGCGTAACGAACACGTTAGTGATTTTACCGATTGTTTTTGTTGCATAACCAGAAAGCATCGTTATGTTATCGCTAATCAGTCGTTAGTAAAATTCATTAACGAAATCGTTGTGTAATCGTTAAGGGTATACACAGCATTTTGGCACCACCTGTTATTAGCTTTTCCTGCATAGATTACATTGCACGTAAAAATAATTGTTTTTAAACTGTTTTTTGTGCAAATGTGCAGCCATATATATCTGTGAAAGAAACAATTGACACTCTGTATGAATCTGTTTGTTTGTTTGTTTTTGTATGTATGTATGTATGTATGTATGTATGTATGTATGTATGTATGTATGTATGTATGTATGTATGTATGCCATACGTTCGCCGTAAAACGAATCTAAAGAAAGCAATTCTAAGTCTTCGGATATACAATACAGAACAGAACATTATTTTATTTTGACATGTACATAGTACATGATCATACTTGATGTGATGATACATTGATAGAAATGCATCAACAATACAATTTCAATACTAATTTTCAATGATTTTTAAAATAAACTTTGAAGATAATGTCACGTTACATTTTAATGGCGTTATATATAGTACGAGTTTTAGTAATTATACTAGAATGTTATTTCAAATCAACCAAAATTGATATTATAGTGTTGAGGATAAACTGTTTTAAACGTAATTAAATATGCATTTTTATATAACAGATTTATCATCAGAAAAATTCTACAAGTTACATAAAATTGTTAAATGGAATTTGTATGTTCATTAATACAGACATATATATTCATTATACAATAAAATACAATACAAAACAATACAATAACGTTTATTTGCTTTAAACATTATACAATGTTTCTAGCAAAAACTATAGACAAGAAATACTGTTACATGAACATAATTACAACTGAACATTTTGGATTTGTAACAAAAAACAAAAGGAGAGACTTGATATAAGTTCATTGCCTCATCTTTAAGATGTAGAATATTTCGGTATGTGTGTGATGAAATAGAGTAGTACACTATCTAAGAGTAAATGTTTAAGTGCAAAGTAAATAGAAATCAATAAAATTTGGATACTTTTTGAGACAAATATACAGTGAATTATCTTCTCGATGAAATGCTATATATATACATATATCTTGATTTGATATTTCTTTGTGATGAAAAATAAATAAAGATTTATAAACAATTTAAGAGAAAATGTTAATCATCTTTCCTTTTAAAGGCAAAGTATACATTTTTAATAAATGTGAATCATTTTTTAAGAATAAGGTAATAAAATAGTTTCAAACTTTATGATTGTTGGCCAATGGCAATAATATCTTTGCTAATATCTTAATCGATGCTTTTAAAAATATTGACGCTAAATAGCAACGTGATTTTTGTTTTGATTTAAATGATGCAAATGAAGAAATGAACTGCTTTTTCTGTAAAACTTTCTTTACATAACCTTTGTTACACACTGGTGAAAATATTTAATAAACCTTCGTATGTTGCTAGCTTGAAAATTACATGGGAAAAAAAAGCAAGTTTCGATTAATAAACTCTACTTTTCATGAAAATAGAGGTTAACCATTAATTTAAAGTATATGAAAGAGGAATATTATATATTTTTTTTTAAATATACTCCGCTGAATTTCATATATGACCAAACACGTCAAAATTTATCCATATACTGTGTTACACTCTTTCATTGTACATGAATGTCTTTATGCTGAATTCTTTAATTTCACTTTGTATATAGAACTTGTATAACTTCTAAGTCTTTTAAGTATTAAAAAATTGAAACTTTAATGTAATATTATATCTATTTAATTTCATACATGAAAGAATGTGATGTATTGTTAAACATGCAATACAAATAGTGTTAGCTTGTTTTGAGATAAATAAGAAAGAATACTATTACATAAGATAACTAAGGCGATTAACAGGTCACTTTGTATTCTCTATGTCAGTTGATGAAATTAATCAACCTCCTTAGAAGCATTCAAACATATAAGTGTCCAAAGTCTATCAGTTATCTAAATACTCTAGCAGCATGGCGGCCATTGTCTGCGGAATGAAAAAACAACATCACTTGTATAAAGATATTTGGAATTATTCTTAAAATCATTTACGAAAGAAATGCTCACTTAAGTTTAATGAGTACGGTTACGTTTTATTTTGAAAATGAATGCAGTCATAATAATAATAATAATAATAATAATAATAATAATAATAATAATAATAAAATAATAATAATAATAATTATGATAGTAATAATGATAATAATGATAATAATAATTATAAATAAATAAATAATAACTTTACATATTAAGACATTTACAGATTGTAACATCATATTAAGGACTTATTATCAAGAAAATAGGAAGAAAATACGTGATATAAATAATACATACTCATAAAAAGTTTGTTGAAAGAGCTTCAGACGTTGTTTTTCCTTCAACGAAGGTCTAACGTGTACTCCGAGGTAGTCGTTATTTTACGACAGTTTCGTTAGTATTTTTGGTATAACGAACGTTTCGGGTTAGAGGGTAAATTACTAACTAGAGCTTAACCAAGGCATTACGATGATCGTAACTCTAACGAATGCTTCTGGTTACTCACCCCAGACTGAAACGTTAACTTTCTGGTCGAGTTGACTACTATACCTATGTTATCTTAAATAATATTGACCGGTGGTGTCATGCTGACAAACAGTATACATGTACATGTATATCTAAATACTGAGATTATGTATTTATCTAATCTTTAAGATAAGTAAAAAAAAGAAAGATCACAATTCCGAAAGACATCCATAGGCAAATTTTACCACAAATTAATGGATGGGTGCTCACCAAACTTGGTCTGGAGCATTCTTAAAGATTTTTTTTATCAATTTTGCTCAAATTGATTTGATTTGCCCCATTAAAGGAGCCGCTTGTGTTGAAAATGGAAAAAAAATCAAATAGCGTGATCAATATGCTTTACTTACCAAATGAACAGTAACAATGAACTCGGGACATTTGTGGAAGGTTCCTATCGTTTTTACTATGAAAAAATAAAACAATCGGTGTCGGGAAAATTTATAACTAGAGAAGCAAAATGAAGTTGAACTGGACTTGTCTTTCTACAAGTTAATTTGAAAAATTATTTCCATAATCATTGAAAAACAGTGTTTTTCTGGTAGGCGATTCAGGCCCATCATGACCCTCTAGTATAAAATGAACTTCATTTAAATAATTCCTGTAATTTACAGAATTTGATGAGAATAAAAAAGAAAACTTAAAAAAAAAATCCTAATAAGAAATGTTTCATTCTGATTAATCAAACTTTCAAGTTCCAGGTTTATCCAAATTGATAATGAACTGAATATTTTTCACAATTTAGGCGATAAGGCGGTTCTTTATCCCAATCTCTAAACAACATTATAAATTAAATTCCAGTGTTTGATTGCTAAGATCTGTGGTATGCTTATACCACCAGTTCAGAGACAGGCAAGCTGGTACATCTGTGTAGTCTGACCAGACAATACTTTGAGAAAGCTACTGAATTTATTTGACACTGACATCCCTACATAAACTTACTAATTCGTACAAAAGTGCATTTTTGCAACGTTATTATTTCACCAAAAAACGTGTTTTTTTTCTGGAGGTAATAATCTTTAGTGAAGATCAAACTACAGTTATTTAATTACTTATTTTTTACATTTTAGATTACAAGACCAACAGATGTTTTATAGTTCAGCTTACAAAAAGCATTAGACAAGTTTCATAATTATTAAATGGCCGGTATTCAGGTAGATGGGAACCCAACAGTAGAGCATCTCACGAATTATTTTCGGAGAAGAACTCGACAAAGTAATTCCACCCAACATGATAGTAGCAGTGATTCTTCAAGACCACGCGACGCAGTCCCAATGTCTACTACGCAGCCTACAACATGTGAAAGTCTTGGTATATTGATAGGCAAACCCAAACACAGACAATACGGTACTCTAGACTCACGTATAAAATCATATGAAAATGAAAATTGGATTAAAGATAAAACACCGGGGATAAAAGAACTAGCAGAGGCCGGACTTGCATATACAGGTGTTGCCGACTCTGTGAGGTGTTACTACTGTAATATCGGCCTAAAAATCTGGCCGAAAGACGTCTGTCCTTGGAAACAGCATATACTAGCCATGTAACACCGCAAAACGTCCGTACCGCAAAACGTTCGCGTGTGGACGTTTTGCGTCGCATATCGTACACATGTGGACGTTTTGGGGTGCATATCGTACTTGGTACGTTTTGCGGCGAGAGTGTGTATTTGCGCCGCATATCGTCCACTTTTTCTGTAGTAAAATATATTCACGAATCCTTCCCAACGAACATTTATTCATCTTGAATTTTATTTACTAGAGGTATTGCATTGAAATTGAATAAATGTTGATTACGGACTTAATGTAAGACAGTGTTCTTTGATCGACGTATTATCACCAGAACGAAATTGTTGCAACAGCTTCAACATTTTTTTGGACAGACACTTGAATAAAGTTTGGGGTTTTTTCCACGACTCGGTTGCCTAATCCTTAGGCCATGCTAAGAAGGCAGTGATGGTTTGGCAACAAATATAACAAGTAAAATATAATTACTAAACTGCGGTCCGCTTTTGCCGCTCTATATTTCTTTTCTTTCTTATACATGAAAAATCTTTTCCATCAACGCGTTTAGTCTTTTTTTAAAGATATTTTCGTGCTACTTGCTGTATTAACATATTGTCAACATGGTATGGTCTCCCTGGTTATGCCTAAATTACGATGAGAAAGGTTTTCGGCGTGATAGGAATCGTTAAAGGGTTAGATACCGTTATATACGGTTCTGTGGGTTGGTTTCCCGTTATGGTTTCCTACAGAACCGCGTATTTCCCCGTATCGGGTCAGTAAACTAACCCTGTAACTTTTAAAATATTTTCTCAAAGATGAGATTGTTATTTTTGAACATCATCAATATGTTGGTAAAAAATGCGATAGTGCCGGCATATCTGCTTGACGCGGCTCAAATAGTTTAAACTACAAAATCTAGTAAAGTTTTGAAATTGTCATAAAATATAACTTTGAAAATGAATTAAATCTATAGGTTTTAGTCGAAAAGTCCGTCCCTTTTTACTAAAACCGTATTATTTTATCGCCTAAGAACAAAACATTTCGTCGGGTTAATTCTACAAACCCGTAACTCGATTTTTTGGCAAAATTGAGATTTTTATATCATTTTTTCGTCTCAGGGGGCTCTTTTCACAGTGGAACATACTTACGTAAGTTGAGAAACTAACATAAAATATGTTTTTTTTCCAATTCCACAAACCCGTAACTCGCTATTTACATCAAACCCTTTAATTCTAGACCCCAGTAACTTCTCGTCCAATCAAAACATTCTGATTTTGTACCACGTGATACATGACACATCTGTAATGGCTGCCTTATTGTATCACAAACATAATATTTGAAAAACTTTTCAGTGATTTATTTAAAGATAATTATAGTATATTACCTGACTGTAATATAATTACATATATTGATGATTTAGTTTTTATAGCTCTTACATCATTTTGAATTATATAGTAAAATGTCTTGAAATTAGATACATATGTAAATACTACATTTATTCGGATGATTAACCATTTTCGGACGGCACCTCGATTGAGTACTATTTTTTTTTATTTCCCTAAAAGCTTTTATTTCAAGTTTTTACACTTTTTTGAAAGGGTACTAATTTTAGCTTATATAGCTGAAAACCTCATTTTTACATTTGAATTTTGATTCACCCCATAAAGTTATACATGTAGTTATTTAGAATAGTTCTTGAATTTGGAAGACAAAATGGCGCCACTCCCACTTTAGGTTTAGTCCCGTGCAGTCATACTTGTTAGTGGTTACAGACTGTTACATCTAGATGCATCAGGACAAATTGTTTCAGAAATTTCAACGCTGTTTTCTAAAGCACGAAAAGCATCTACTTAATGTACACTCTAAATCAAAAAATTAAACATTTATGCAACATAGGTATGTGACAGAAACGCATCGTTCAAATTACCACGGTTGATGAACATGTTGTAACATAACAAGTGCATACTTTTGAAAAATTAATGTAGATTTCATTTGATAGTAGCATTGATTTTCAAACAGACGTGTAATATTTTTACACAGTAGGGAGAAGTTAATGATATTTTTACTTTGAAATTTTTCTATGTTTCTAGCCGAAAATTATTACACTTAGGTCAATTTTGCTTCAAAATGTTTCCTTAGAACCCCCGTATGTCGCTTTTATGGTGTAGAAATGACCTGAATGTTTGTCAACAACCAAAGTATCTCTCGAATGGGGTTTTAGAATTCAGAATTTGTATTGGTTTTCTTATTTATTATTGAAAAATTTGAAATAAAAAATTATTTTAAGATTTTAGCTTTAAAATCGTATGCACAGAAATAAAAATTTGGTAAATATGTATAACATACAGATTTCCTAAATTCACTGAAAATTTTGGTCTTTATACGGGTTATCATTAAAAAAAGTTATTACAGTTCAAACTTTCAAATGCGATTTTCTAAAAAATGACAAAAAATGACATTACGGGTTTGTAGTATTAAGCCAACGATTTCGCCTATAAGTTACATAGATAATATGTAATTAGAGTATATTATACACAAAAATTCATCCGCATAGGAAATGATGAAAATAAGAAAGTTCAATGTGTTATATGATAAAAAATAAAGCATATTTTAAAATATCGTAATGTAAGCGTTTTGTTTTGAATGCCATAATGTATTTTATAATTGAACAATGTAATTTTATAATTGAACAATGAAAAAAAGGTCATGGTGGCCTTATATCGCCCACCTGCCTATAAGGCTCAACATGACAATAGGGTAGATTAGCTTAAATATTACAAATAAAATGCAAGTTACCATTTCATGTTTTTGGTCAGAATCTGGGTAACTGATATCAGTACTCAATTTCTACGTCTGAAAATGGTTCATCAATATCCAAATATCTGTAAATTGACAAAGATATGGTTAATTTAAAATCCGAAATTCCCCAATTAGTGATCTTGGAAAGGACAAAAGGTTCATTTCCAGGGTCAATATTAATATTGGGAACTATTCAAGATTGTCCCGTTCCATGTCATAAATGTATGAATGACATTCTGGGAACCATTTGATAAGAAAAAGAAATGGCAGTTTTATCACAATTCAATTTAATTTTGACTTTAAAATATGTTCTTTTTTTTATATTCAAAGGCAAATTACTCTTTTGACATTATTCAGTCCGTTTTTAGCCCATTTAAATGAACTTTGACATTCGAGACCTTATTGTTATACATATTCTGTATAAAATTACTTTAAAAATGAAGAAGAAAACGAAAAGCACTAACAAGCGTGATATATAGTGCGTTTTTTGTTGTTGTTTTTTGTTAGATTTAGGCCTATATTCTAACTTTGTTTTGAGATTTTATGGTCATAGATATTATGTTTGAAAATTGTCAAGATTAAAGAAGAAAATGAAAGCGTTGGAGTGGTAACAATGTGAAATTATAACAGATATTGTAATTCAAGGACAGATTAACTCTTGACATATTGCTTAGTGGTATGTGGATGCTAGGTGGTAACAAGCTAAATTTGGACGGACAGACAGACAGACAGGGCACATTACTCAGGTGAGCTTGAAATTAACACACAAAAACACCTGATAATAACTGGTCAAAATTAACGAAAATTATATAAACTTTTAAAATATGGACGTTATGCGCAGGACCCATGCCTTTTTGCCGCAAAAAAAGTTACGTTCAGAAAAATGGTGGACGGATATGCGCCGCAAAACGTCCATAATACGGTACGTTTTCGGTACGGACGTTGCTTTTGAGAGTTACCATAGCCAGTCCTGATTGCGGGGCATGTAAGCTCAGGTGCAAAGGTTTAAAGCTTTTATGTTTAGAAAAAATTTCTAGGGAAAACAATCAAAAGGATTTCGGATTTTGAAAGCTGGGACGATTCAAAAGGAATTTCGTTGATACTTTGAAAGATGCTACTAAGAGAAACGAAGCAGCTGTGACTGCAGCAAAGCAGTATTGAACTAACGATGTTATCATTAATAAAGCGGTCAAATCATTGATAAAGACTGAGCGGTTCAAAAACTTCTCTTCTCTTGACCTTATAGCTGCTATTGAAGAAGTTGAAAAATATTCTAAAAAGGGTAAACAAACAGAACAGTTGGCAAAAAACTTGCAAGCAAAATCTGAAGATGTAGAAACTGACGGTGATACGTCTGAGTCAGATGAAGAAGATGAAGAAGAACTAAACAGACAATTGAAGGAGCAAGTTACTTGTAAAATTTGTTTTAACGCTATTGCTTGTATAATAACATTTACCCATGTCGCCACATGGTTTAGCTGTCTCCCCAGTGTATACCAGCACTTTCTAAATGCGGCAGACTGTAGGGCCGATTATAGAATGGAACTGTTCGAGCCCCCCAGATGGCCGTTTAAATACATTTTTTTGTCTGAGCTTTTATGCTCCCGAACAAAAGGGGAGCTTATATTTTCGCCGCTTTGTCCGTCCGCATCCCGTTAGTTCTGTTGTTCTTTCCCACGATTTAGCTTTTAGCATCTTTATTCATTGACCGATACCTGGCTTCCATATTTTTGGTTTGCTTTAGTTAGATGGATTGGATGGCCCTGAGTTCTGTGTCCCACTGATGTCAAGGTCATTGGTCATAAAATAGATGTTTACACTTTTGCTTCTGACATACATCATTCATTAAACGATGTCTTTTATATTTTGTAAAGTACGAGGTACATACCTTTTTGGTTCCCTCTAACTTTGCTTGTAAAATTAAGGCTTCACGTAGGTTAAGGTCACCGGTACTAGAAATAGATTTAAACACTTTTGCTCAATCATTTACCAATGTCTTTCATATTTGATATGATATACATGTACCTTTGGATGGTCCTGTTACTTGTTTGGAGCCATCAATATCATTATCAGTGATGCTAAGAATATTTGCATTGTACATAGTATATAAACGAAAGTGCAATTTTGGGGAGCATCTATCGCCTCTAGCGATATGTCTTGTTGTTTAATATGTTGTAAGCTATAGTATTAATTTTCAGATCTGCAGCCATATTCATTATATTGTTTAAAATCATATTATTTTCCTCATCAGTTAAAAATTTGTGTTTAGTTAATATCCCTGTTTCAAATTTATCTTAAGTAATGTATGTACACAATGTTGTATACTTTCGATTATTTGTGCAGTGTATCCAATAAGAAAGAAATAAAGAATAAATAATAGCATAAATAATTTCATTTTCACTATTCTATGATAAGGCACAATAGTTATGTGGTTTTCCTTGTAAAACGGGGATGTTGTGAAGTTTGCTGGTATGTCAAATCTAAATGTAATTATTTTGCAAAAACTAGTTTAAATATTCTGGTAAACTGGCATTGTTTTAATTAATTTCCTTTCGTGTTCATCAAGACGTGTGTGCTGAGATACGGTAGTGATACTTATATTTCAAGACTAAAGACTATAGCCTATAAGGAAATAGTGATTTAAATATGCAGCTATCCACATTATATCATAGGCCATAGTGGTCTCGGTATATGGCTGCAAAAAGTATAGGTCAAAGTGAACTATATATGTTCAGCTGCAACGTTTTAAGTTATTATTCATGTCCCTCATGTCAAGATTGGCTCTGATCCAGGAATCACTAGCTTTATGTAGACTAAGGTATAGGAAGGCACATGATAAATGCAAGAACTCTATACTTGGCATAAAGCAATGTCTAGTAGACTTCTATTAAAGTTTAATGAATAATGCACTTCCAGTCTCCCCTGATCTTGGATGTAATGTCAAATAGTGTTATAAACAAAATTAAGTTGGAACATTTTAAGACAAGTTTCTTGATTTGGTCTCTACCTTATCTGAAAGATTATTTTTGATTAATTAAATTTACATTCGTGCGTATATTGCCCCGCTTTTGTGGTGCTCTTGTTTTTCTATTGCAACGAGACCATTGCCCCTTTACATACAGAATTAATAGAAATTCTTTGTTCAGAGCATGATATTTTGATAAAAATTAAATCTTTTTTGCCAAAAAGAAAGAAAAGAAATTAACCCTTAATAAAAAGGAAGATGCTAAACCCAAAAGGGGGCAAAGGCTTTCCAAAAGTTTAAAACATTTTTATATTTCCCCCCTTTCATTTGAAGCATTTTTAAATCACAGAGGTTAATTTTTTTAGGGTTTTAAGGGTTTTAAAAAAACCCAAAATTTTTTTAAAAAAAAACAATTACATTTATATACTTTTTTCAGCCCCTTGAGAAAAATAGCCTCCAATAAAGTGCCACTAGGACAATAGTTCCCCATTTAGACAATACCTACCCAAAACATGTGGGCCCCCTTGACAATAGCCCAAATTTAGAACCCAAAAGCCTACCAATAAAATTTTTGCCCATAGGACAAAAAGCCCATTGAGACAAATAGCCACCAAAAAACATGTGCCCACTAAAGGGCAATACCCATTGAGACAATACCCCACCAAACATTGGGCCATTAGGAAAAATAGCACATTGAGACAATAGCCTTACCAAATACATGTGCCCACTAGGACAATAGCCCATTGAGACAATAGCTTACCAACGACATGTGCCCACTAGGACAATAGCCCATTGAGACAATAGCCTACCAATAATGTGCCAACTAGGACAATAGCACATTGAGACAATAGCCTACCAATACATGTGCCCACTAGGACAATAGCCCATTGAGATAATAGCCTACCAAGACATGTGCCCACTAGGACAATAGCCCATTGAGACAATAGCCTAACAATACATGTGCACACTAGGACAATAGCACATTGAGACACAGCCTACCAATACATGTGCCCTCTAGGACAAATAGCCCATTGAGATAATAGCCTACCATGACATGTGCCCACTGGGACAATAGCCATTGAGTCAATAGCCTACCAAGACATGTGCCCACTAGGACAATAGCCCCATTGAGATAATAGCCTACCATGACATGTGCCCACTAAGACAATAGCCATTGAGACAATAGCCTACAATACATGTGCCCACTAGGACAATAGCCCATTAGACAATAGCCTACCAATACATGTGCCCACTAGGACAATAGCCCATTGAGACAATAGCCTACCAAGACATGTGCCCACTAGGACAATAGCCCATTAAGACAATAGCCTACAAATACATGTGCCCACTAGGACAATAGCACATTGAGACAATAGCCTACCAATACATGTGCCCACAAGGACAATAGCCCATTGAGATAATAGCCTACCAAGACATGACAATAGCCCATTGAGACAATAGCCTACCAATACATGCGCCCACTGGGACAATAGCCCATTGAGATAATAGCTTACCATGACATGTGCCCACTAGGACAGTAGCCCATTGAGTCAATAGACTACCAATACATGTGCCCACTAGGACAATAGCCGATTGAGACAATAGCCTACCAAGACATGTGCCCACTAGTACAATAGCCCATTGAGACAATAGCCTACCAATACATGTGCCAACTACGACAATAGCACATTGAGACAATAGCCTACCAATACATGTGCCCACTAGGACAATAGCCTATTGAGATAATAGCCTACCATGACATGTGCCCACTAGGACAAAAGCCCATTGAGATGATAGCCTACAAATACATGTGCCCACTGGGACAATAGCCAATTGAGATAATAGCCTACCAATACATGTGCCCACTGGACAAAAGCCCATTGAGATAATAGCCTTACCAAGACATGTGCCCACTAGGACAATAGCCCATTAAGACAATAGCCTACCAAGACATGTGCCCCACCAGGACAATAGCCTACCAAGACCATGTGCCCACTAGGACAATAGCCCATTGAGACAATAGCCTACCAATACATGTGCCCACTAGGACAATAGCCGATTGAGACAACAGCCTACCAAGACATGTGCCCACTAGGACAATAGCCCATTGAGTCAATAGCCTTACCAAGACATGTGCCACTGGGACAATAGCCCATTGAGATAATAGTCTACCAATACATGTGCCCACTAGGACAATAGCCCATTGAGACAATAGCCTACCAATACATGTGCCGACTAGGACAATAGCACATTGAGACAATAGCCTACCAATACATGTGCCCACTAGGACAATAGCCTATTGAGATAATAGCCTACCAGACATGTGCCCACTAGGACAAAAGCCCATTGAGATAATAGCCTACAAATACATGTGCCCACTGGGACAATAGCCAATTGAGATAATAGCCTACCAATACATGTGCCCACTGGGACAAAGCCCATTGAGATAATAGCCTACCAAGACATGTGCCACTAGGACAATAGCCCATTAAGACAATAGCCTACCAAGACATGTGCCCACCAGGACAATAGCCTACCAAGACATGTCCCCACTAGGACAATAGCCCATTGAGACAATAGCCTACCAATACATGTGCCCACTAGGACAATAGCCGATTGAGACAACAGCCTACCAAGACATGTGCCCACTAGGACAATAGCCCATTGAGTCAATAGCCTACCAAGACATGTGCCCACTGGGACAATAGCCCATTGAGATAATAGCCTACCAATACATGTGCCCACTAGGACAATAGCCCATTGAGACAATAGCCTACCAATACATGTGCCGACTAGGACAATAGCCCATTGAGACAATAGCGTACCAAGACATGTGCCCACTAGGACAATAGCCCATTGAGACAATAGCGTACCAAGACATATGCCCACTAGGACAATAGCCCATTGAAGACAATAGCCTACCAATACATGTGCCCACTAGGACAATAGCCCATTGAGACAATAGCCTACCAATACATGTGCCCACTGGGACAATAGCCCATTGAGATAATAGCCT